GGGCCTCCTTTAAGGTTGATGAAACGCAAGCGTTTCGTGCCCAGTTTCTTGCCTGCTATGTACCATCTTTCATTGTGCCTTTGTGCATGTAGACAAAGTCAACAGTTGTATATTTCTGTTTTCTCAGACTTTGTAACTCTCAGGCTAACTTGGTGGACCTATGAGGCAGTATAGGCTTTCAGAGTGATGGCGGGGCGGGGGGATCCGCCAAAGACTGGAGCAAGTGCTTGCAACAGTGCTCCTGGGGTCCATCTCCAGCCTACGGGGTTCCCTGAGTACTATCACAGTGTGTCTTCTGAACTTAGCCCTGTGTGCCCCCACCACTCTCCCCTGCCAGACAACCCCCAATCCCTTAAAAGAAATGATGAAAGAAAGGTTCAGCTCCCTGCATTTAGGTCTCTAATCTGCCACATATCCACCTGCACAGTTGTGGGTAAGTTCTTTATCCTGTTTGAGTTGTGCCTTGTAATCTTTATAGGTAAGACTTTACAGACAAGATAGCATACATCTTTGTTTAGGTTAATAACGTACAGGCATGGCATATGTTTACTAGTGGTATTGTTATTAAGAACAAATACCACTAAAATCCAAGAATCAGTGCCAGTTAGTCTCATTTGTATTAGCGGTAGGCAGTGTCCAGAGCTCATTGGGAAACCAGAGCAGTGCCCAGATTACCCCAGAGTTGGCCACGTACAAGACAAACCCCTTTACTCTGCTCATTCTCTTCGGCCCTTAGTGATGTGGATGGTATGGGCAAATTCATTAAACAGAAAGGGTAGGTGGGCTTCCTTGCTTCAGCTTGATTTGAATAAACCTTAGAAAACCTATTTATTTTTGGGTGGGGTGTACACCCAGGGCTTTTTCCTGACTTTATGCTCAGGATCATTCTTGACTGTGCCATGGTTTCCAACTGAGGCTGGCCGCATGGTTTCTCTCTGGTGCCTCTTTTCTGTGCTCTTTTTTTGGGGGGCGGGGGCTTGGGGAGGCACATCAGGGGTTACTCTTCTTTCTGCACTCAGGAACTATTCCTGGCAGTGCTCAGGGGACTATATGGGATGTCAGGGATTGAACCGAGGTTGACTGCATGCAAGGCAAATGCCCTACCCTCCGTACTATCTTTCCAACCCACGGGGACCTGTAAAATAAAAATAAAGATTTTATTTCAAATTTTATTTCAGCATTGTTAATGACAGCGTTTCCTGTTTATAACATTTTAAACTCATTTTTCCACCAGATTGTCTTCTTTCCCCATCATTATCTCAGTCCCTTTTTCTCCAACTCCCATTTTTGTTTTGTTTTGTTTTGTTTTTCTCTGGTGAGCCAAGAGAAAATTTGGCTGTGCTCAGTGCTAACTCTTGGTTCCCTGCTCAGAGATCACTACTGGAGGTGCTCGGAGAGGTTAGATGCAGTGCCAGGGACCAAGCTGGGGCCAGCTAGATGCAAGGCTTGACTCCCTCCTCTCTCTCTGGGCTCTGCCCATGAAGTGCTTCAATTCCCTGGCCACCTCCCAGGTCAAATCTCCGACGACATTGAAAGGGAGGCCGATGGGCCCTTGCTTGTCTTGCATTCTGCCATCCTGTGCTGTCCCAGTCCTCTTTCCATCATGCCCATCTTTCCATCTTGGTGTGACCATGCTGGGCTCTGACTCGGATGGCAGCACTGGCTCTGTGGAGCTCACTGGGAGTCACAGCCCGGGTGCTCGCTCCGGCAGGTGTGTCGTCAGTGCTCGTCCATGTGCTTTGATGGCAGAGTCACTGCAGGATGGCGACGCTCGTGCGCTCTCCTGTGTCTGCTTGCCCTCCCTGCCTGTTGTCTTCCTGGGCTTCGTCTCTCCCTGGCGACGCTTAACAGGGCTCATGGCCCTTCACTGTGCGCCCCAGTCCTGGCTGAGGCGGGGCTGGAAGTCTCTGGCATTGCCAGCGACTGCCGACAGCAGAGCTGCTGAGATCCCATCTGGCACATGGCGCGTGGCCAGGAACTGAACTGTGATCTTAGGTTCGCAAGGCCGGTGTTGTCAGCCATTGACCTCCTACTCTACTCAGGAGTTAACGTTCTCAGTTTTTGTCTTCACAAGAAAGCAATGATGCAACTCTTCTTTCCACCTTCAAGTATCAGTTTCAAAAAGGACTGCAGGGGTGCCCAAGCAGTACAGTACAGTACAGTACAGTACAGTACAGTACAGTAGTACAGCAGGCAGGGTACTTGCCTTACAAACGGCCAACCTGGTTTCGTTCCCAGCACCCCACATGGTTCCGAGCACCCTCTGGGTGCAGCCAAAAACAAAACCACCCAAAAATAAATGAAAAAGGACATGTTCTTCATAGAAAATACAGATTTAAAAAAAATGAAATTCACTGTAAATCCACCATCACTTGGGTCTTTGTTCAGAGTTTGGTGTCTGGACTTATTCCCGCTTTTCTCTCTATAGATACACATATAAAGTCATTTATGGTATTGGTATTGATTTATTTGCTTTTACAGTGTTAGCACTTGGAGTGCAACACACATATTCTTTGTTTTATCAGTGTTTAAATCAGGACTTCATAGACTTTTCCCATTTTAAACCAACCCCTTTTTGGTTGAGAATTTTAAAAGTATTTTTATGTTATGATTTATTCAACTTTTTTGTTTTGGGGGGCACACCAGGTGATGCTCAGGGGTTACTCCTGCCTCTGTGCTGAGAGGTAGGACTTGGCACCAGATGGGTTGCTGGGGAACGAACCTGGTCGGCTGTGTACAAGGCTTATATCCACTGTACTATCTCTCTGACTCTTCAGAATTTTTTTGGTGTCGGGGAGGGGCGGCACACCCAGCCGTGCTCAGGGCTTACTCCTGACTCTGAAATCATGGATCGCTCCTGGCAGGGCTTAGGGGTCATATAGGTGGCGGGGATCAAACCCAGCCTGGCTGCGTGCAAGGCAAGGATCTGAGTATGCAGTACTAACGCTCTGGTCCCTCGAGAATATTTTTACATGTCCCCAAGCATATGAAATAGGCACACAGACCAATCATTTGTTGATAATAAATTAAAATTTTATTTTAAAACATTTTTCACAGCCCTTACATGAATTGTGGGTTTGTGACCGTGGTTTAAGAAGCTAGGATTTAAGTCTAGCATTGTCAGGAATAATTTTATGGTAGATGTTTCACATTCTGCTGAGTATATTTGCCCTACTGCAATTTATATATTTAGATTCTATTTAGATATTTATAAATGAACCGCATCAGTAAACATCTTTGAGTGCAAATCTTTGAACATTCATTATTTCCATAAAATACATGGAAAGATTTGGGTTGTTGGGTGGCAGAAAATGCTTTTAACACACATAAACAAGCTGTTCTCAAGACCTATCTCTGCCGCTTATCAGCGAGGGATATTGTCTGTACCCAGCCTATGCTTGTATGGGATATAAATGATCTTCCTAGGCATTGTGCAAATTCACTTTCCAGATCCTCTGAAACTTCCTGTCTTTCTCTGTCCTGCCTTCCTTCCCCCTCCAGCTCTCTAGACACTGGAGTGAGCTGGTTAGAGCAGGAGCTGTTTCAAAGCATTTTTTCCCTCACTTTTAGTACTTCTAGCATTCCCTCACTTCTCAGCTGTTTCTTAGGGCATTTGCAATTTAAATATTCTTGAAACTTTTTTGGGGGGAGGGTGGTACAGTATTGTTTTTATTTTTATTTATTTATTTAGTTTGTTTTTTGGGTTATACCCGGCAATGCACAGGGGTTACTTCTGGTGCTATACTCAGGAATTACTCCTGGTGGTGTTTAGGGGACCATATGGGATGCTGGGAATCGAACCCGGGTTGGCCGCGTGCAAGGTAAGCGCCCTACCCGCTGTGCTATGGCTCCAGCCCCTTGTTTTTGTTTTTAACTCATGCTCATTTCTTGTAGGTTTTGAATTTTCACCTTTGTCAATTTTGCTAATAGCTAATCTAGAGCATTTCTGAGATGACATCATCCTCTCGCATAATGACGAGGAGAAAATGCTCTAAAATCTGTATTCAATCTAGGGTCTGACCCCAGCTCCTATTTGCCTTTTGGATTCTCTTTGGATTCTGATATGTCACATAATCCCTTCAGTTCTTTTTTTTCTTCACTTGTAATGTGGAGATCATACTAATACTTAAAGATTTTGTGAGTTTTTAGAGAGGTAGAGATTCTTTGAAGTGCTTGATACACTGAAATGTTAAACGCGTGCGCACACACACACACACACACACACACACACATACACAGTGTATATTTTATTTTCTCATCTAATGTGTGAATAGGGTTGGAGCGATATAGCACAGCGGGTAGGGCGTTTGCTTTGCGTGCAGCTTACATGGCTAACCCGAGTTTGATTCCTCCACCCCTCTCGGAGAGCCCGGCAAACTACTGAGAGTATTTTGCCCGCGGGGCAAAGCCTGGCAAGCTACCCATGAGGTATTCGATATGCCAAACACAGTAACAAGTCTCACAATATTACTGGGTCCGCTTGAGAAAATCGATGAACGACGGGAGACAGTGACAGTGAATGTGCGAATGAGGCAGGGGTCTCTCTTTTTAGACTGTGATTCAGGAAATGGAATCAGAAAGAAGGAATACTTTCCAAAGTATTGTCTAAATCTGAATTTAAGGCTTTTGAACTCTGAACATGGAAAAACTAAAGGGCATGGCAGGAATCATGATTGAGATTTGTGCATTAATCCAGGCACAGTATTCAAAGTTGGCCCATGGTACAGCTTCCAGATTGCCTTGACTGGCCCAGAAGATGAGCTTAGGTCCTGGGGGATGTGGTTTGGTTCTTGGGTGTCTTGGCAGCGAAGCCGTCACTGCTGTGTTTGGATGTCTTCTGGGCATCACACAGGAGAGTCTTTGCAGACACATTTCAGACATTGGAGCATGAGGACCAAGATATTTCCTAGGTTGATTTCATTTGTTCTTAAATTAGATTGTTGTTCTACTTCAGTTTCCACGCGACTGATGAGGTTTTTATCTTGACTTGTTTCTGACAGGGCATGGTGCTGATGTGAAGTGTGTAGACTGGCATCCAACCAAAGGGTTAGTGGTCTCAGGAAGCAAAGATAGTCAACAGCCAATCAAGTTCTGGGACCCCAAGACTGGGCAGAGTCTCGCGACACTGTAAGTGCCAGGAACCTCCCCTGGGCCCTTTAGCACCGGGACAACCGTGTGGCATGCTTTCTTCTGCTTCTGAAAATATAGTCCAGACAGCATGGAGATGGATGATTTCTCCCTACATCCCAGAAACAAAACAGAACCTGTGTTCTTCTGCCACCTAGAGCTACGTTTCCAGTGGGTATCCCATGGGTGAAGTAGAGGCTGCCGCTGAGTGGTTATTACCGGTCTGGCTTACTGGCCTCCCGGAAATATATTCGCATTGTGTGGAGTTGAAGTCTCTGTCACTACCAGAGCATTGCCCAGCTTTCTTCATTTCACTGCATTGGTTGATCCTAAATCTTCTCTCCATTTTTGAGTTCGTTTTCAGTTTTGGTCTGAGATGCTTACTTCGGATACAGCCACATAATAAAGACTGACGTAGAACTATCATAAACATCCATTTTTATCAGTCTGCCATTCATATGATTAAACTCGGCAGCTTTCCCTGGTTCTGTAATCGGGAAAGGAGCCAGACCAGGTGAGGGGCCAGGATGCAGGTTGCAGTGCTGCACTCCTGGCCACCGCCTACTGGGTGGCCCTTAGCAGGCCCCAGCAGTTCCCGTTTCTACTTCAAATTAACCCTCAAGTATCTACTTCAAATTAACCCTCAAGTTGTCTCTTGTTCATTTTCATGCTTTGTTTGTGTGGGAGCTGCTTCTTAGAATTTTTAAAATTAGAAGGAACTTTGTAGAAAAATAATTTAGTCATTTTGTTTAACTGTTTCCCCTACTCCAAATAATTTTTTTTAATCCAATTTGTTACTTTGCTGCTGTTGAATGGTTAATGAAAGTGATGCCTAGTAATGGACATTGTTTCCGTCATCCACTTGTTTCTTGTGCACTTTTTGACTCCACTCTCCACAATGTTACATGGGCCATACCCTCTGGTCTTGACCCATGTGCAGTAATGGGAGATGTCATTAGGGCAAGTGCTACTTGTACTGAATTGACAGGTTGTTTTCTTGGTACTTTGTTTCTAGTCATGCCCATAAAAACACAGTCATGGAAGTGAAATTAAATCTCAATGGCAATTGGCTGCTCACCGCCTCACGTGACCATCTCTGTAAACTTTTTGACATCCGAAACCTGAAAGAGGAGCTGCAAGTCTTCAGAGGCCATAAGAAGGAAGCCACAGGTCACTGCCATGAGCTGCCCCCTCTGCCCCGTGACTGCTGCCCCGAGTGCTCTGTCTCTGAGACCCTAATCATTTCATCCTTTCCTGTGTTTTGTTTTCTAGCCGTGGCCTGGCATCCTGTTCATGAAGGTCTTTTTGCCAGTGGAGGGTCTGATGGCTCTTTGTTATTCTGGCACGTTGGGTATGTGTCACACCTGTTTCCGGGGGTAGTGTGGTTGGAGGGGAGTCGTAAGTGCTGGGAACTTTAACCCAGGGCTTCACTGGTGGGAGGCACCAACTCCACAAAATCCCTTTTTTACACAAAAAAGCTCTAGTTCAGAGAACATCTGAGAGGGCAAAACACCATTCATTTTTGTATCTTTTTGTGGGAAACTTTGCTGTTTTCAATTTTGTAAGCCCAACTTGTTACCTCTTGTTTCATCTTGTGGCATCCTTAAGAGAAGGTAAAAAAGATTTTCTTGGTTGGTTTGTGTTTTGTGCGGCTTTTTGTTGTTGTTGTTGTTAAATTTATTTGAAAAAAGTTACAAAGCTTTCAGATTTAAGACTTGGTCATATAGTGATCAAACATTGTTTTGGTTTTTGGTGTCAGAGTTGCAACTGATGACCTCACACAAAAATGGTCTGAGCTCTCCAGCTGCCCGATGGTCATACCCTTCCCTCTGACTTACTGGGTGAAGTCTTTTTGTTGCCAGGGATTGAACTCGGCCTCATGTGTAAGACAGGTCCTCTACTGCTGAGCTACATCCCTTGCCCCTGGTGAAATTCTTGAGACATTTTCTTTTTTTCTCAAGTGTTCTTTAGATAATGAATATTTTATTGATGACAAATCAGAGCCTCTGAAACATGTGGAATTGAACAGCCTTTATGTTTCATTAAAAGAGCATGTCTTTTTTTGTTAGTGTTTCAGAATGTTTCTGACAAAGTTTTCTCTCTACCTCTTCTAGGGTAGAGAAGGAAGTAGGTGGAATGGAAATGGCCCATGAAGGAATGATCTGGAGTCTGGCTTGGCACCCTCTTGGACATATTCTCTGCTCAGGTTCAAATGACCATACCAGGTAAGCTTTATATTACAAATAACAAAGAGGAACTGGAGCAGTAGTACAGATTGGGAGTTTGCCTTTCACGTGGCTTTACTGAGTTCAGTCCCCAGCACCACTCATATGATTCTTTGAGCGAGCCAGGAATAAGCCCTGAGCACTGCCAGGTATGGTCCATAAACAAACAAAACCCAAAATTAAAAAAAAAAAAAGGAATAACCATAGTTTTGGATCAGTAGAAAATAAATTTGTATGTATTGTTTATTGATTGATCAGCAAACTCCTCGGTTTTCTTCCAAACATTTTTATAATGACTTAAAAATATACAAGAAGGAGGCTGAAAATCAAGTATGACTTCGCTTTGTATTGAATTTTGTTTTGTTTTCTGATTAAATGTTTTCACATTTTTACAATGCCTTAGGAAAAAGGCATTGTAAAACTGTTGTGTTTCTAAGGAGTATACATGGTTAGGTGCATAGAAGGACAACAAAATTGCTCTCTTCCCTACCTTGATTCTCAAAAATTTTGTTTCGACAGCAAATTCTGGACCCGAAATCGACCAGGTGACAAAATGCGGGATCGATATAACCTAAATCTATTACCTGGAATGTCTGAGGATGGAGTAGAATATGGTAAGACTTGTTGCACACCTATCCTTGTGAGAGTCTGTAAAAGCTTGTTGGATTTTGAGATGATTATCAAAATGTAATTTTAATTTAATAGTTTGATTTGTTTACCACCATTAAATATTTGCGTCATGATTGTATTTTATGTAATTCATCTTTACAATTGGTCATACTTATAACTTTATATTTCATTTTAATGAAGTTAATTTTATCGAACAGTTACATTTGTAAAGTCTGGACAATATCTGTCTTCCTGTTTCTAGATGATCTTGAACCTAACAGCTTGGCAGTAATTCCAGGGATGGGAATACCAGAACAACTAAAGTTAGCTATGGAGCAAGAACAGATGGGTAAGAGAAATATCTCTTTAAGGGGTGCAGGGCCAGAGAGATAATGCAGCATGCTTACTTTGCATGCAGTGACCTGGGTTCCATTCCTGGGGTGCAGGTGGAACATCCATGCCCGACTAGGAGTAATCCCTGAGCAGAGAACCAGAAGTAAGCTCCGAGTACAGACAGGTGTGACCCCAGACAAACAGATCCATAGTGGTGGGCCTCATACCTGGTGTGCATGTAGCCAAGTTGAATCCCGGGTTCCCTGTGGCTGCTCAGGCTCCCTGCTGTGGCTGACCCTCAGCATTTCAGCCCAGAGCAGCAAGGCCCGTGTCTGAGGCCCCTTGACCCACTGAGTACTGCTGGGATGCCCTTAAAACTTTTTTTTTTGTATAGATCTACTTTCAGTTATTTATTTATTTATTTAATTTTTGAGGCCACACCTGGCGATGCACAGGGGTTACTCCCGGCTCTGAACTCAGGAATTACTCCTGGCAATGCTCCGGGGACCATATGGGATGCTGGGAATCGAACCTGGGTCGGCTGCGTGCAAGGCAAATGCCCTCCCCGCTGCTGCTATTGCTCCAGCCCCTACTTTTATTTTTAATTGTATTGAGAAGTGTTAATAAAACTGAAGTGAACTTCATAACATTTAAATTTTCTGTTTTGAAAAAATGTGTTAATTGATGCGGAACTCAGGCGTGTTCATTTTCCTGGCTCACTGCTTGTCTTTATGGTTACAGGGAAAGATGAATCAAATGAAATTGAAATGACGATTCCGGGCTTAGATTGGGGAATGGAGGAGGTGATGCAAAAGGATCAGAAAAAAGTACCCCAGAAAAAGGTTCCCTACGCAAAGCCTATTCCTGCTCAGTTCCAGCAGGTAAGTCCCTGGGCATTCCATCCTCATCTGTGCGCTGAGAGACCATATTGCAGGTCACTGGCCTTCAGAAGTGTTTCTCCTCAGTTCTCTCCTGCTGAGTGTGTTTCTAGACTGAAGACAGGTTTTGGAGCATTGGTCACGTGATTCAGGCATTCGTAGCCAATACTTTTCATTTGTACAACCTTATAGTGAGTGCTGAGTTTGTCGGGAATCTTTTAGATCTTTTGATTCTCACCTTATTCTCATCCAAGTTACAAAAGGAATGAGGAGAAGGAGTGGAGTAGAGAAAGTGTGTGGGGGTCACTCTGTGCTAGTTTCTTCTGCTTCCTTAGTCCTTGTGCCCTTCTGAGGCGCACTGTAGCTTTGCATTCTCTCTGACCTCGTGGTCTCACTAGGAGTTTCTGCCTTGTGCTGTGCTTATCCATCTTCCTTCCTCCACAAGCTAGCAGGGGAAGCAGAGATGACTGGCCAGACCTCCGTATATTCAGCAGGCTGGAGTGGGCCCAGGGTACGATCAGTGGTTTTCTCCTGGATTCTGTTGAAGAGTTTCCTCCCTCTAGCATTGTAATTTTCACACCGAAGATAATATATTCCCTCTTCTCTTCTTTCCCAAGGCTTGGATGCAAAACAAAGTTCCAATTCCTGCCCCAAACGAGGTGCTAAATGACAGAAAAGAGGACATTAAATTGGAGGAGAAGAAAAAAACACAAGCAGAAATTGAGCAAGAAATGGCCACTTTGCAGTATACTAATCCACAGCTGCTGGAGGTGTGTGAAGCTCCTCGGGGGGGTCTGAGGTGACCCCGGAACATAGAAGACTTTTTATGAGAAAAGTCTGTAAGATGGTCCTGAATCATACACTGTGTGTGTGTGCATGTATGTTTGGGATCTGAGATGACCCAAGAAAAAGAATGCCCTTCATGAGAAGGGCCTCTAACATGGACCTGGTGCATACACTATGTGGCTCTTTCCCAAGACTTACAGATTGCTTTTTATGAATAGGTCTCTTAAGATGAGTCTGAGCCATACACTGTGTGTGTGTGTGTGTGTGTGTGTGCGCGCGCGCGCGCGCGCGCGCTTGAATTTTCTGTGGCACTAGGGTCTTACACATGTGTGGCTTGTGTTCTCCCACACAGTTATATCAGGGACCCCACACCACAACAATTTTTAAAAAAAATTTTCCCACTTGGTTTATAAAATTGTTAATGATGCATTTGTTTCAGTCATTTAATATTCCAGTCCCAGTCCCACCAGTAGTATAACCTTTCTTCCACCATTATCCCCATTTTCCCAAACATCCCTCAAACTTGCACCTTTCGCAGACCCAAATAATTTCAAATAATTTATTTTATGGGGCCGGAGTGATAGTATAACGGGTAGGGCATTTGCCTTGCACATGACTAACCCAGGTTCAATCCCGACATCCCATATGGTTCCCCGAGCGCCTCCAGGATTAATTCCGGAATAAAGAGCCCTGAACATTGCTAACTGTGACCCAAAAAGCAAAAAACAAAATCAAAACCACAAATAATTTATATTTTTTATTACAACTAAATGGCTAAGGAATTCTCAAAAAAAAAAAAATAACCAAAAACTTCAGTCAAAGAAAATTTCTTAAAACTGTTATATCTCACTGTGGGGACATTAAGTCCTTGTCTGGGACTTTACTAAGCCGTTGTTGCTAGTTGAGCCTTCTGTGTCAGTGTTTTAGTTAATCGAGCTTAGTTGGCCTCTCTGATACATTCCCATCTAATTTGGTGTGCTCCTACTGGGCTGTCAGTATTGTAGAGTTGGAAAATGTCACAAGGCCACCAATGAGGCCACGCGCTCCAGAGACTCTACAACTGGGCAGTGAGTTTACATGGCAGCAGTATTGGGCTGTGGATGTGACTGCCTGGGCTTCCAGAAGTACAGAGGTGGGGGTGGGGGTATGGCTGTCCGCCCCAACTCTGAGAAGACCCCGAAGTTCTCAACCTGGAAACTGGTGTACCTGAAATTTCTCTGGTGCTTAGTCATGAAGCTCTTGAATTGGGTCTTTCATGTGGCGGCAGCCGTGGTGGTGTGAGTGTGGCTGCCACGGCTTCAGGGCAGGAACTCAGTCTGGCGCCCTTCTGCCCCCCTCCCCCCCCCCCCCCCCCCCCCCCCCCCCGCCCAGTTCTCAGCTGGAAGACTGAATTTTTGCAGCCAGCTGATATTCATGAGTGTGTAAAGCTGGGCTGATAGCTGAGCTTACGTGTGTAGGTTCTGAGATGAGCACCACCACCATCTCTTAAGCCTAAGCACTATATGTAGGGAGCTAGTTTTTTGTTTTGGGTTTTGGGTTTCTCCTGCTGGTGCTCAGGACTCTTCCTCCTGGCTCTGCACTCAGAAATCACTCTGGTTGGCTCGGAGGACCGCATGGAGTAGCAGGGTTTGCACATCAGTTGACCACTGTGCAAGGCAAGCATTTTCCTTTGTACTGTCTCTCTGGCCAGGCAGCTGTATTTTGAAAGAATCCTGCTGGGGCTGAGAGCAGGCTGAGCGTGTGATGCGGAAGCCTGGGTTCAGTCCCACAGCACTGAGCTAGGAGTGCCCTGAGTACCGAGGTGTGGCCCCAAAACCAAACCCCAAAAAAGAATCCTGTTTTTTAGCCGGTTCCCATAGGCAGGGAGAGGGATAGTCTTTCCCCTGCTTCCCTTTCTCTTCTGTTGTTACTGTCCTGGCCTGGTAGGGCCAGGGAGTTGGGCTCGGCCGCGTGCCGAGATCTGACGGCAGTGCTCCTGTATTGGAGCACTCTGTTTTGTTTTGAATCCTAGACAGCAAAGTCCTCAGGACTGTGTGCAGTGCACGGGGGCGTCCGGATGCAGGGGCCAGAGTTAAGACTTCACACTCGCAAGGCAGGTGCATTTGCTACTGAAGCATTTCCCAGGTCCCCACATGGATGTTTATAACAGAACAGCTAAAGCCAGCCTAGCATAAATTGGGATTCCCTTCTTTTTCTTCAATAAAATACTTCTAGAGCAGTTTATTCATTCTCTTTCCCGTCTCTGACACCCCTAGGAAAGGTAAAACGCTAATGCACTGTATGCATGCACCCCTGGCGGAGCTGGGTATGGACAGCCTGACTGTCATACTGTCATTTCTTGGCTGGAGCGAGTGTGCAGGCCTTTGTGCTCTCAGTCTCTGTCAGGCAGTGGTCATGTCCCCCTGGAGGCTACCCCTGCAGCCCCTCGTGGCACTCCTGGTTGTCAAGGTCCTGTCTCCCTGACAATGTGCTTTTTCTTTTTCCAGCAACTGAAGATCGAGAGACTCGCCCAGAAGCAAGCGGAGCAGATCCAGCCGCCGCCGTCCGCGGGGACCCCTCTCCTCGGCCCCCAGCCCTTCCCGGGGCCGGGCCCCATGACTCCCCTGCCGCAGGGCTTCCAGCAGCCCCACCCGGCTCAGCAGATGTCCATGAACATGGCCCAGATGGGGCCTCCAGGGCCGCAGGGACAGTTCCGACCTCCTGGACCCCAAGGACAAATGGGCCCACAAGGCCCTCCACTGCACCAGGGAGGTGGGGGGCCACAGGGATATATGGGACCACAGGGGCCCCAGGGCCCACCCCAGGGAATGCCGAGGCCGCAGGACATGCACGGACCCCAAGGCATGCAGAGGCACCCTGGCCCCCATGGCCCTCTGGGACCGCAGGGCCCTCCGGGTCCGCAGGGAGGCTCTGGGCCTCAAGGTCATATGGGTCCCCAGGGACCACCTGGGCCACAAGGTCACATCGGCCCCCAAGGCCCACCAGGCCCCCAGGGTCACCTGGGTCCACAGGGGCCGCCCGGTGGCCAAGGTATGCAGGGCCCCCCTGGCCCCCGAGGAATGCAGGGGCCGCCCCACCCCCATGGGATCCAGGGCGGGCCAGGCGCGCAGGGGATCCAGGGCCCCGTGTCTCAGGGACCACTCATGGGACTGAACCCCCGAGCCATGCAGGGTCCTCCAGGCCCCCGCGAGAACCAGGGCCCTGCCCCGCAGGGCATGATGCTGGGCCACCCGCCGCAGGAGCTGAGAGGCCCGCACCCTCCGAGCGGCCTGCTGGGGCATGGCCCCCAGGAGATGCGGGGCATGCAGGGCCCCCCGCCCCAGGGAGCCATCCTAGGCCCGCCTCAGGAGCTGCGCGGCCCACCGGGGGTCCAAGGCCAGCAGGGACCACCCCAGGGCTCCCTGGGACCTCCACCTCAGGGCGGCATGCCGGGCCCCCCGGGGCCTCAAGGACAGCAGAACCCCGCCAGAGGGCCACACCCGCCACAAGGGCCCATGCCGTTCCCGCAGCAGAAGACGGCCCTGCTTGGTGACGGGCCGCGGGCCCCCTTCAGTCAGGTAAGAGCCTCTCCTGGGGAGGGGCACTCCACGGGGCTGCCCTGCAGGAAAGGATGCGTGCCTGAAAGGATGGTCCAGTGCAGGCTGTGTGGTTTGGGGCCACATCCAGTGGCCTTCAGGGCTGACTCCTGGCTCTGTACTCAGGAATTCCTTCCAGCAGCGCAGGGCACATATGGAGTGCCAGAGATCCGACTTGTGTGGGCCGCGTGTGCTGTCCTTCATCCCCTTGCCAGCCTGCTCCTCACGGGTTCCCGTAAGGGACCAGTACCCACCCTGGTCAGGAAGTGGAAGAGCCTGGCACTCACCCCTCTTTTTTGTTTTGGGGACACACAGCAATGCTCAGGACTTCAGGCTCAGGGGTCACTCGTGGTGGGCTGGGGTAACCAGATGGGGTGGTGAGGGTCAAACCTGCCCTGCCCACTGGTGCATCTCTTCAGTCCGGGGCTCTGAGCTCTGGAGTCGCTGTCTCCCAGCCTGCCGCCAGCTGCCTGCCTTCCGTCTGCACCTTTGGAAGCTTGTCGGGTGATGTCACAGTCTGGTCTTTCCCTTTGCAACTCAGCAAATGTTTTTAAAGATAGCCCAGTTCAGGTGCGGATGTCCTCAAATGGCAACTCTTTCAGTGACATCCGTTCAAATTTTTATCTCACCCATGAACATACGTAGAAGAACTAACATTTCTGTAGAGATTTTCTTCTTTTGCTAGTCAGGCATGCGCTGAGTTCCTGCGGGAGAGACGGTCTCAGGAGCGCTCAGGCTGCCAGGCTGAATCACAGAGTAACTGCATGAGTCTGAACTGATTCAGCCCTGTTCGGCGCCCTGCCTTGTGTCGTTTTCCCTGAGTTCTGAACAATCTGAGTTCAGAGCATTTTTTTAGGCGCAGTGTGAGTGAAGGTTTCTGCCCCAGCTTGTTGTTAACGTGGGTGAGTGAGCAAGCAAAGGAGTGCTGAGTCCCGGGTTGTCGGCTAGAGACGTGCTGCGGATTCCGCCAGTGAAAACCTTCAGGGTGTTTTGCTAAACGGGCTGTGGGCTGGGCGTTTGCTTTACCTGCTGATGCAGGTTCCATCCCTGGCACCATATACAGTCCCCCGAACACTGCCAGATGTGATCCCTGAGTGCAGAACCAGGAGTGAGTCTGAGCACCACCGGATGTGGCCCCCACACAAAACAAAGAACCGGCTTGATCAAACACCTTTGAGAATCTTTATTGTCCCCACTGGACTGGTAGAACAATGATATGAACTTGTAAAATTAATTGGTTGTTATTCTCCATGTAAACCTTCCAGAACGTAAAACTCTGTTATACATTGAGAACAAAAGACATTTGAAAACTTTTAAGTTTTTTTTCAGATTTTATTAGCTACTTTTCAGAATTTATGAGGTGAGTCAAGATTTGCCATCTTGAATTACCTAAAACTTGAAGTGCTCTGTGTTTGTGTGAGCATCTGGTCACTTACCTCCCAGGCGTGTGTTGGAGTTACTGAGTTCCTGCAGCTTCTGTTCTAATGAAACCTGCTGCTCAGATCCTCCATCCTTGTTATAGAGACTCAAGACCTCAAAACTCCCGCTCAGCCCTAGTTCTGATTTTGTTTATTTTTCTCTGTGTCTTTCTTTCTTTTTGCTTTTTTGGTCACACCCGGCGATGCATAGGTGTTACTCCTGGTTCTGCACTCAGGAATCACTCCTGGCGGTGCTCCTGGGGACCATATGGGATGCTGGGAATCGAACCCGGGTCGGCCGTGTGCAAGGCAAACGTCCTACTCGCTGTGCTATTGCTCCAGTGAGATGGTTGGCCGCACTGGACAGTGTGTGTGGTGTGTGTGTGTTGGGGGTGGTCTCAGTCCCTAGCACTACATTGTCTTCCAGGCACCCCAGAATCAATGCATTAACTATAAGACGTCATATATTCAGTGACTAAACCTACTATGAGAATAGTTTAAACAGCATCAATAACAAAATTGTTTTCACATCCCAGCTTGTTCTAAGGAAAGGGAGCCATGATAAGAGATACAACACTAGTTACCAGCAGTTACTAGCAATTTCTGTGCTGCTTTGCTGTCCCATTAACCCAAACAATTCTTTTTTTTTCTTTCTTTCCTTTTTTGTTTTTCGTGGGAGGGCTTGGTGCACTGTGATGCCCAGCAGTGGTGGGGACACTTCTGATGGTGCTTGGTGCCAGGGATTGATCCAGGGCCATGCATGTGAGGCCTGGGCGTCCCCTGGGCCTCTTTCCCAACCTTATCAGCATATTCCTCCAGTCACTTTAACCTGTGCACAGTGATTCCATCTACTGAAACAACAGGATTAGAAGGCTGGTCTGGTCAGAGTGCAGGAAGTCAGGTTTCAGTTTGTTAAAAATAGGAGCAAAGATTTGTATTTCATCACTTTTGAGATGTAAAATGTCCTCAGAAGTAACCAAACCTTTTGCTCCTTTTTTTTTTTTTTTGGCTTTTTGGGTCACACGCAGTGATGCTCAGGGTTACTCCTGGCTCTGCACTCAGGAATCACTCCTGGTGGGGCTTGAGGGACCATATGAGATGCCAGGGATTGAACCCGGGTCAGCTATATGCAAGGCAAACGCCCTCCCCACTGTGCTGTTTGTGTATAAAAAAATCTTAACGACTTGATAAAATCAAAGCCCTCATTGGGTGTTGGATATTTAGGCCCGTCATCTAGTTGGAAAAGAACACGTAGGGTTTTGGGAAATTCTGGGTATAAAATCGAGCTGACTTAGCTGGAGAGATTTCCAGGGCTTTCCCTGGGTCAGAAGTTGCTCTTCTGGGCAGCCTGAGTAGGACAGTAAGTAAAGTGCTTGCCTTGCATGGGGCCAACTCAGGTACAATCACCAGCATCACATATCGTCCCCCCGAGCCTGCCAGGAATCATCCCTGAGCATAGAGCCAGGACGAAGCTCTGAACACTGCCAGGTGTGGCCCAGAAAACAAGAAATTGCTCATCTGTGCAGAGTTTGTGGTGATGGTGATCACTGCTTTTTATATAGTTCCAGTCAGGCTTTACAAGAAAAGATCTGGCCTAAGTAAGCCATAAGCAGATAACACTCAGTCACTGAGTGTTATGGGAAGAGAAAGTATTTCTTTTCCCCAATTTCTGGTCAACTTGAATACATTTGTCATTTATTGCTGGCTCCTTAAGGGGTAACTTGGTGTCTTTTGTCTTGTTACGTAGTAAGCAGGTGTCCGACTTTCCTTGCTTTCACACTGTCTTTTCAGGAAGGACAGAACACAGGCCCCCCACCCTTGATACCGGGACTGGGGCAGCAGGGATCACAAGGGCGCATCCCCCCTCTTAACCCCGGACAAGGACCTGGCCCGAACAAAGGTAAATAGCTGCTTGCCCTAATGAGAGATTGCATTCCACTTTTACATAAATCTTACAGCAAATAGTTCTGTGGGTGAGTATTTGCTAAAATGGTATTTTTAGTCTCCAGAAAAATTGAGGGCAGTTATTTCAGTTAATAACTTTGTCTTACGTGGATCTCATAGATTTGCTCTAGGTTAGCCAGACGACCGACTCCCAAGAGGGTGCCTGACAGTCCCTCGCTTTAAGGCCCCGTCCTGTGTCATCCTTGGCGTTCCTTGGCAGAGGAGGCAGTTCTTGTGCTCACTGTGTGCAAGGGCATGGTGTCAGCCTCTCAAAGAATGGAAGGGCTCGTTTTGACAGCAGGAAGAATTCAGGCTTATTAACTGAATCTTTCTGCTCCCCAACAACTTGTGTCAAGTATTGAATTTTTTTTCTTTTTCTTTTTGGGTCACACCCAGCGATGCACAGGGTTCACTCCTGGCTCTGCACTCAGGAATTACTCCTGGCGGTGCTCGGGGGACCATATGGGATGCTGGGAATCGAACCCGGGTCAGACGCATGCAAGGCAAACGCCCTACCCGCTGTGCTATTGCTCCAGCCCCTGGATTCTTTAGATGTTATGGTGTGCTGTAGAATTTGGAGAGAGACAAGCAGTGGACTGCATGGAGAGTATCTCCGGAAGACTACTTGCTCATTTTTCATTGACTAAGCCCATAGCACCCTGTGGTACATTTTCGTTTTCTCATCCCATTTTATCAGATTAAGGGAAGTGCTTATATTATTAAAGGGAAGGGAGTGATCAAAGAATTAGAAGAGAGCTTTTTTTTTTTTTTTTTTTTTGCATCACACCCTGTGGTGCTCAGGGGTTCCTCCTGGCTCTGCACTCAGGAGTTACTCCTGGCGGTGCTCGGGGGACCATATGGGATGCTGGGGATCGAACCCAGGTCAGTCGCGTGCAAGGCAAACGCCCTACCCGCTGTAATATCTTTCCAGCCCCAGATGGGAGCTTCTTGATCCCACCACGTATCAGTATTTGATTGTGAGGCTCTCTTGGTTTGGTTGATCCTGGTATTTAGCTGTAAGGAAAGCCGTGGATCCCTGCAGTTTGCTGTCTATATCATCAGAGGGAGCGCGACAGATGCAGAGCCATCACTGTCACGTGTGGGGTGGAGAGAAACAGCACAGGAAGCAGCAGTGGTCAGCGTTGACAGACCCTGAGGGATGGCCTCGGGGTTTCGCTGGCTGGTCATTGGGCAACCCCGTGGGAAGATCCTGGGGGGGGCGGGTGCGGAGGGTGCCGGAACATTGTATTCCTCGAGTTTCGTTAGTATAGTACTGTCAGTCCCAGTGTCTAGATAAATTAGAGGAGAAAAATGGTTTTTGATGAGTCTGGTTTGGGAAGAAGCATTAGGCCCAATAGTTGAGGGAGTGACAGGCCCTTGTTCTTGCACCTCTGGAGCTAGTGGAGCAGGACTAGGAGGCTTGTTGGCAGAGATAGGGTGTTGCGGGGGGGGGGGGGGGAGGGCGTGGCCATGCTGCAGCCAGTGCATTCTTGTACCTTTTTTTTTTTTTTTTTTGCTTTTTGGGTCACATCTGGCACTGCTCAGGGGTTACTCTTGGCTCTGCATTCAGGAATTTCTCCCGGCGGTACTCGGGGGACCATATGGGATGCTGGGGATCGGACCTGGGTTGGCCGCATGCAAGGCGAACGCCCTACCAGCTGTGCTATTGCCCGGGCCCCAGATGCACTCATTCTTAATTGAACCCCTGAACCCATTTGCACATGTTAGGGTCTCATCCCCGTTTGACTAGATTAAGAATAGTGCTTGTTGCGGGATGATCTTTCGCAGATGTATATGTAACAGGAGGAAGTATGTAAGGGAATAACAAATGGCCACAGTCCTACACAACCAAGCTCTCTGGGGCGGGGCACTGTGGGCAGTGGTGGAGGGGAGCCTACGCTCTGGAGGATGCTGTGTTGGATAACTGGATGCCTGAAACCTTAACATGAGCGGGAGTAAATCGTGTTTTGACTCCCCCCCCCCCCCCCACGGGGAAAAAAAAAGGAAAGAAAGGTACTCATGGGGCTGGAATGATAGTATAGTGGGTAAGGCACATGCCTTGCATGTGGCTGAACTGGGTTCCATCCCCGGATTCCTAAGTGGTCCCCCAAACCCAGCCAGGAATAGCCCCCTGAGCATCATGGGGAATTGCAGAGAGAGAGAGAGAGAGAGAGAGAGAGAGAGAAGTACTTGTTAGCCTTGGTGCATGGGAATCTAAATACTTAAAGTTTGTGTGTTATTGGAGGTAGGAAAAGGAGCAGTCAGGAAATTAGGAGAGTGTTTCTTTCATATAGATGTGATTGCCAAGGAAAGCACTGGGAACTCATCTTGAAGGCTAGAGAAATAGTCCAGGGTTTAAGGTGCCTTGCATGCGCATGGCATCCCGCACTCAGTCTCCCGCACTGACTGTATGGTTGCCTGAGCACAAAGCCCTGAGCAGCCAGGTACGGCCCCCCTCCCCTAAGCATCCTCCTACTCCTGAGGAGTCATCTTTACATTTTGGGCTCTGTGGCACGAGTCTTTTCCCCAGGGTACATGCTCGAGACAGCCCAGTGTCTTCCTGGCCCGAGTGTGCCAGCCACCTCTCCTCCCTCTCATCCTCCCCACTCCCGCACACCCCGTCTCTCCATGTCTGCCTCCTGGGACCAGAAAGAAGGGAGAGTCAAGAAGGTGGCCAGGCCCTCCTCCACATGCTGTCCCACCGCAGTAGGGGGTGTATTCCTTCTGATTTTTGGGGCCAGGTGGTTGGGAGAAGCAGGGCACTCGCACAAGTAAGGGGAGGGTCAGAGTGCATGGCACGGCCCAGTGAAAGGGCTGACACGACCTCAGAGCCCAGCAACTCAAGTCGAAGACGAAGCTGTTAGCTGCAGGGACAGCCTGAGGAGCAGGCTCTGTCGGCAGGAGGTGATCTAGGGCGTGTGCAAACTGAGAAAAGAGATTCTCTCCTCACCAGAGAGGATTGAGTTCCTGGCGGAAAGAAGAGGAGGCAGAGATTCCGAGAAGGGTGGACATCTAGTGTGGCATCTAGTGTGGCAGGTTTTTTTTGTGTGGGGGCCACACCCAGACACACATGCGGGGTCTGCTCCTGGCCCTTCGCTCAGGGACAGTGTGGTATCAGGAGTCCAGCCCAGGTGAGCCACGTGTACGGCAAGTGCTCTGCCCGCTGTGCTCTCCCTCCAGCCCACAGCGTGGTGATGTTAGACCAGAGATGTTCAAGGTTTTGTTCCTGTTGAAGGGTGAGGAGAGATGAGGAGGGCCACACTGGTGACTGTCGGCTACGAGGGAAGGAAGGACACGTGTGTCTTGCTGCAAGGAAAATGCAGTGAAAGGCATGAGCTGGGAATCTCTTTTTTTTGTTGGCTTTTGTTTGGGGGCCACATCCAGGGGTGCTCTGGGGTCACTCCTGGTGAGCTCTGGGGACCCTGTGGGGTGCCGGGGAGCAAACCTGGGTCGGCCATGCACAAGACAAGTGTCCTACTTGCTGTACTATTGCTCTGGCCCCAGAATCTCATTTTTAAACATCTGTTGTTTTAGAAGCAAGAGCGTCCCATGGCTTCCTTTTAAAAAAGGTTCCATGTAAATCGTTTGTTAATTATAAAATAGGGATGTTTCTAGCTAGTTGCAGTTCTTTCAATTTGAAAGGTAAATCCCTTTTGAGTTAGGAAGTAAGCAAAGTTAACCATCTCAAATTCCATTGCCTCTTTTCACTTTTATCCATTCTTTAAGTACCTTACATGTATTCATTCAGGTATTTACCTTTGATGGGTTTCGAACCACCGCAAACAATGGTGATAGCATTGTAGATGAGGAATTTCTTTCTGTTTCTTTCATAGAAATGATCAGAAAAAAAATCTTCCTCTCAAAATTAGATCAGGGGCTGGAGCAGTATGCGGGTAGGGTGTTTGCCTTGCACTCAGCCAACCTTGCACTCAGCATCCCATATGGTTCCCTGAGCACTGCCAAGGGTGAATCAGAGTGCAGAGCTAGGATTAACCTCTGAGCACAGAAGGGTGTGACCCCAAAAATAAAATCCCAAAAATGAGAGCACAGGAAGGTTCTTAGGTTACCATAGCCCTCACTCGAAAGACCCATGGCTGCCGTGTCTGGCCGAGCTCTTTATCCCGGATGCGGATACGTGGGCAGAGCGAGCGCTCTGGGTGCTTGCAGGATCCCAGCTCCTAGCCCTGCACTCAGGATCCTGCCCACGGGAACGAATCAGGGAACTGTGAGGTGACGACCAAGCTTTGTTGGGGTGCCGGCTAGCGTGTGGCTTTCTGCCCAGCGGCCTGGCCCTGCCGCTTGTCTCCTCCTGGTGTGCTCGGTCGCAGGGCAGGCGTGAGTCCTGACCCAGAGAGGTTCGTCCTCGTGGCCTCTGCATCAGGTGGCAGCGGCGCCCGCTGACCCTTGCTCATGGCTCTGGAGGCAGACCAAGCGTTCGCCCTGGGCCCGGCTGCTGCGCCAGCACCCTCACGCCGCGGTCTGTGCCCCAAAGCCCCCACTTCCTGCCGCTTTGTGCTGCCTTGGGGACTTTTGTCTCCTGAGGAGAAAGGCTGGGTGTAGGAGCCTTGCAGGAGCATGAAACGGTGGGAATGCGTGATTGCGGATGCCCGCGAGATGGTAAAAGTCAGCTTTGTTTCCTCTAGGTGACTCCCGTGGCCCCCCAAACCACCACATGGGTCCTCTGTCAGAGCGGAGGCATGAGCAGAGCGGCGGCCCGGAGCACGGTCCTGAGAGGGGCCCTTTCCGGGGCGGCCAGGACTGCAGGGGTGCCCCTGATAGGCGCGGCCCTCACCCCGACTTCCCCGACGACTTCAGCAGACCAGATGACTTCCACCCCGACAAGCGCTTTGGCCACCGCTTACGTGAATTTGAGGGCCGAGGAGGACCTTTACCCCAAGAAGAGAAGTGGAGGCGTGGGGGCCCCGGGCCTCCGTTTCCCCCCGATCACAGGGAGTTCAGCGAGGGGGATGGCCGGGGTGCAGCCCGGGGGCCCCCAGGAGCATGGGAAGGCCGCAGACCTGGAGATGAACGATTCCCCCGGGACCCTGAGGACCCACGCTTTCGGGGGCGCAGAGAAGAAAGGTGGGACGGACACTCTGGGTCCCTGACCCTCCCCCGGAGTCTTTCGCCTCTCTCCAGCGTTCCTTCCGGGTTGGGGACAGTCATCTGCTCCACCCCCTCTCACCGTCTCCCAACTCTGACCCCCTTCCCACCTTGCTTCCTCCTGCGGGCCTCCTAATCTTATGCCACCCACCCCCTCGGCACGGCTCTCACCTGCGGCCCCCTTGGGGCCCTCCCATCTAGCCCTAAGTGGAGAAATGCTGCTTTACTCCTGATGACTAGTCCTGTCCGCTCGAGGGCCTGTATTTGCATGGGAAAGTTATGCTTTTTAACCTTCCTCTGATTATTAACTAATTTATTTGGGGGCTGCTCCTGGCTTTGTGTTCGTGAGTGACCCCCGGCAGTGCTCAGGGGACCACGGAGCATCACTGGGCACGGAACGGGGGTTGGCAGCATGGACGGCCAGCACCTGAACAAACCCCTGTGTCATCTCACAGGCTCTTTCTTAGTCTTTTTCTTTTTTTTTTTTTTTTTTTTTTGGACCACACTGACAGTGCTCAGGGGACCATGCAGGGTGCTGGGGTCGGCGCAGCCAATGCAAGGCCAGCGCCATGCCCGCTGAACTCTTTATGGCCCTCTGTAATGTCCTTTTTTGTGTATGTGTAATTTTTAGTACTTTTTACGGGCTGGATCAGTATATACTATGCAGCATTTCTTGGATTTAGTGAGAAACCTCACAGCTCTTGATGACTCCTGCAAGGTGGGAATAAAGGAGTCCTTAGAGCATTTTCATGGGATTACCTAAAGAGTCCAACAAAGTCAAACTGAAAAATCACCTCGCCTTTATTTTAAATTTTACCCCACACGGGGGCTGCTCCCAGCTCCGTGCTGGGGTCAGTCCCAGTCGCTCGGCGGCCTCCCGCGTGTGCAGCCCGTGCCCAGCTGGTGAGCTCTCTCCAGCCTTAAATCTTGCTTTTAAACCCAAATTAGGTTGAGGTCAGACTTGAACTCTCAGCTTGCTTGGAATAAAAATGGAATAGAAGAAATATGGAGAATACAGGATTCGTGGAATCTCAAGTGAGACTTGAAAGAATCAATGCTGTGATAATCTGCTGTAACCGGGTGTTTACTCTGCCAGGCCATAGGACGCACTGGGGTCGGCCCCCATGCTCACACTGGCCAGCACCTGAACAAACCCCTGTGTCATCTCACGCCATCACTTTGTGGGTGGGAAGTGGGACGACAGAACAGGTTCCGGCCTGTCTGGGCCCAGGACTGCTCAGGTCCCCTTCCTGCACATCCCCCGTCCCTGGGCTTTCCCCGCCTCACTCCTTTCTTGCTGCTAGAGGATGACAGTTTCCAACTTGACGGGATCTCCTAGAAAAGAACGGCCAGCAAGGATGAAATTCCAGGGAAGACTTTAAGGATAGGCATTCGCAGGTTCTCAGTTTTCTCTGGTCTTGGGGGCTTGACCCAGTGGTGCTCAGGGACTCCGAATTGCTCCCTGCAGTGCTTGGGGCAAAATGTGTGGTGCCAGGAATTGAACCCAGGGCTCCCCTCTGCGAAGCATGCTTGTCAGCCCTCAAGCTCTCTCCCTGCCCAAGGCTCCCCATTTTCTTGAGGGTGTGTTTGATGACACACAAGCCTTTGCTCTTTGTCTCCTTTCCGTGGGCTCTGGCGGCAACTGTATTCCTTGCATCTCTGCATTTGTGCAGTTTTAGATTTTACTGTTTGATTCCCTTCCTTCCTTCCTTCCTTCCTTCCTTCCTTCCTTCCTTCCTTCCTTCCTTCCATCCTCCCTCCCTCCCTTCATCCTTTTCTTCCCTCCCTCCCTCCCTCCCTCCCTCCCTCCCTCCCTCCCTCCTTCCTTCCTTCCATCCATCCATCCTCCCTCCCTCCCTCCTTTCGTCCCTCCTTCCCTTCCTTCCTCCCTCCCTCCCTTCCTTCCTTCCCTTCCTTCCTCCCTCCCTCCCTTCCTTCCTTCCCTTCCTCCCTTCCATCCATCCCTCCCTCCCTCCCTCCCTTCCCTCCCTCCCTCCCTCCCTCCCTCCCTCCCTCCCTCCCTCCCTCCCTCCCTTCCTTCCTTCCTTCCTTCCTTCCTTCCTTCCTTCCTGCTGAGGCCACATCCAGTGGTATTGGGGATCCTTCAGGCTCTGTGCTAGGGAACTCATGGTGTAGAGGATCAAACCCGGGTTGGCTATCTGCAGTGAAAGCTTCTAAAACCCTTTTTCATCTCTCCAGTCCTAAGTCTGGATTTCTAATCTGTTTTCCCTTTCCTCTAAAACTGAGCTGAGCTGAGCTATGCTGTTATGTTTTTGTTTTGGGCCACATCCAGCAGTGCTCAGGGATCACTCCCGGTGCAGCTCAGGGGCCTGGGGAATGTGAGGCAAGCTGCCTGCCGGCGGGACAGTCGCCCTGGCCCTGAGCCGTCCTGCTTTCATCTTCAGCTTCTCTTGCTCCGTTGGCTTTTGTTGTTTCCTCTGCTTGCAAGGCACGACTTCTGGACGCCCGTGGCCCTCTGCGGTGAGCTCTCGCCTCTCGCGCCCAGTGCCGTCCTTGTTCCTCATGCTTTGAACACCGCTTGACATTGAGTCGTGCTTCTCTTGCTGTCCAACGACACAGGTTTGAGCTGCCTGGGCCCCTCTAGTTTTGCAGCCGGTGTTCTGGGTACAGCTCCTTCTGTCCAGCATGCGGCTGCTGACCCAAGAAGGATACAGGGATTCATTGTTTAAACGAAATGAATATTGCTGCTTCAAATTTAATTTGTGCACAGAAGAGCACAGGATAGAAATGTCTAGGAAAGGAATTGTTAGATAATGATATGTCATTTTAACTTTTTTTTCTTTTTTTTTCCTTTTTGGGTCACACCTAGTGATGCACAGGGTTTACTCCTGGCTCTGCACTCAGGAGTTACTCCTGGCAGTGCTCAGGGGACCATATGGGATGCTGGGAATCAAACCCGGGTCGGCCGCGTGCAAGGCAAACGCCCTACCCGCTGTGCTATCGCTCCAGCCCTCATTTTAACTTTTTTAAATAGCAATTTTCTTAAAATTAAAAATTGCTTAAAAGACTAGCTTGAAAATACAAAGTAATATAGGAGAAGTGAGACAATTGGAAAATCACTTATGTGACCCCACCCCCACTCCAGGTGTTTAGGTATATGACATAGATATGCAAATCAAACATTTACCGATAAGAAATAATAAAGTCAGTTTTTAAACATGCCTTTAAAAGTTATGCAGTCCCAGATAGGGCAGGACCCACAGTTTTAGGAAGTTAAGCACACTAGTGTTTTCATGAGTGAAATGTCTTTTAAAAAATAAAAGGGGCCGGAGCGATAGTACAGCGGGTAGGGCGTTTGTCTTGCACACGACCGATCCAGATTCAAACCTGGCATCCCACATAGTCCCCCCGAGCGTAATTCCCCAGTGCAGAGCCAGGAGTAACCCCTGAGCATCGCTGGGTGTGACCCCAAAAGGAAAAAATATAAATAATTGTGTAAAGGGAGTTTTGAGGATTATCAGAGAAATTCTAATTGGACCGAATATTATGTCTTAGTAGAGTGATGACAATGTTATAGAGCAGAAAATCTTTGGGCAAGAAGTCTGAAGTATTTAAGGGTCAAGTAGCATGTCAGCAGCTGATTTTGAAACACTTGCAAATCCTTTGTTGTGTTTTCCTGGGTTTGTTTGTTTGTTGTTTTGGTTTGGGAGCCCCTTGGAGTGGTGCTCAGGACTTACTCCTGGCTCAGTGCTCAGGGGTTTCTCCTGGAGGTGCTTGGGGGACCATCCGGGTCCTGTGGATGGAGCCTCATTATGCTACATGTGAGGCAAATGCCTCTCCTGCTGTCCTGTCCTTTCACACGTAGTTGGACAGATGGACACTAAGGCACATGCGGAGAACCTTCTGGGTGTGTGTTCTGTTCGTGAAGCGTTACTGAAATACTGTGTTTCAAACTAAAGTGGTGGTCGAGAGAAAACTTAAAGGAGATGCAAGAAAACGTGGAAGGCCGGCACAGGGGTGGCCAGCGGCGCCCGTCGGCTGTCCTGCCCTGGTGCTGTTCGTGCGCCCTCCCAGCGGGCCAGCCTCTTTCCTGCTCCTCACTCGGCTTGGCCACGCGGCCAGTGCTCCCTTGCGGTATTTCTCTTTCGGTGACTCTCCAGCCAACTTAGCTTCTTGCTCCTTGAATTCCCGAGGGACATTGAAATCGTCCACCAGCCAGGGCAGCAGGCTCCCAGCGAGCCAGTGGGCAGGCAGTTCAGATGCCGACGCCTGCTCCCTTCATCGGGGTCAGCGTTAGAGCTCCCCTGGCCACGCTGGTGACAGTCATGCTTTCCCGGCCCATGAGGGCAGCGCGGGTGATTCCAAACAGGCAGGCAGGAGTCTGGATCCCTCCCTCCCCCTCTTTGGATGAGATCATATTACAGAAATGAGAATGATAGTAAAAAGTTGGAAGGCGCGGGTAATGAGCTTGGACTGGGGGTCAAGAGGGAATGAATTCAAATTCTAACATTTCCTGTGTGTCCTTAGGTGAGTGACTTAATTTCTCTGTTCTCCATATTCTTGCTGGTAGAACAGAGTTGATGACAGTGGCAGTTTCCTGTAGTAACTATGGGGGTGAAATGTAGTGATTTAGGGAAAGCGCTTGATATGCTAGATCAGTTGAAAGTGTTCACTCCTGGGGCCGGAGAGGTAGTACAGTGGGGAAGGGGCTTACCTTGCACGTTGGGCTGACCCAGGTTCAATCCCCAGCAATCCTACATGGTCCCCCTGAGTAGCGCCAAAATGATTCCCGAATGCAGAGCCCAGAGTAACCCCCGAGCATTGCTGGGTGTGACCAGTACCTCCGTTTCCCCCCACCACCCCACCCCACTCCCCGTCAGTGCTGCTTGTATTCCTTCCTGACAGCATAAAAGCGAACCTACCTGCTCGATGGTACATTCCCTTCCGGTCTCAGTGGGCCTGTTTTCATTTCTTGTTTGGGGCCCGCACCCAAAACATTGCTGGCAGTGCTCAGGAGTCACTCCTGGTCTGTGATCCCTGCAGCCTCAGAACACCGATTTGTTTTTAAATTTGACCCTGTTTTCTTTTGACTTCTGGTTTGGGGCCATCCCTGACGGTGCCCGTGGGCTGTCCAGCTCTGCTTGGGGGCTGCTTCTGGGGGTGCGTGGTGCCCACCCAGTTGGGTGCCCTCTGGCCTAGGACTGGAGCTTTTCACATCTTCTGCTTCTCTGAATTCTCTGAGAGTGGCAGAGGATTGCATGCAGTGGGTGTTCTGCTTTCTCCCGGCAGCTTCAGAAGGGGAGCCCCCCCGCGACATGAAGGCCGTGCTCCCCCCAGAGGAAGGGACAGTTTTCCTGGTCCTGAGGACTTTGGTCCAGAGGAGAATTTTGATGCTTCTGACGAAGCGGCTCGGGGGAGAGACCTGAGAGGCCGAGGTCGGGGTACCCCGCGCGGTGAGTGTGTGGGTCGGAGGAGGTCGGGGTGCAGGGCGGCCGTGGACGTGCAGACAGTGGGTGAGGTGCCGCTGTGTCTGTCCCGCAGGAGGAAGGAAGGGCCTCCTGCCCACACCTGATGAGTTCCCTCGCTTCGAAGGTGGCCGGAAGCTAGACTCCTGGGATGGAAACAGAGAGCCAGGTGAGCAGCTCAGGGCAGCTCGGGGGGTTCCCGGCTCGGCCGTGGAGACCTTCCCGGACTCACCAGGCCTTTTTCTTCCAGCTCCCTCTCCAGCGGGTGCTGAGCTGTCCGCAGTATTCTGTGTGGACAGGTAGATTATGGAAACGGGAGAGTCCTCTTTTCTTCTTTAACTCAGACTGTTGAAGGATTTCATCTAAATAGCAGTCTGCTCTTTTCACTAGGTCGGGTTCATTTCGAAAGTATAGCTCAAATGAAGGACTGTTTCCTCACTCCTAATTGCTGACACAGAAATTGATGACATATCGCTACTCATAAAGGAAATCTCTGGGGTCCTCAAGTTTTGTTTTTTGTTTTTTTGATTTTGGCCTTTTGGGCCACTCCCAGCAATGCTCAGGGGTTACTCCTGGCTCTGCTCTCAGGGATGTGTGATGCCGGGGATCAAACCCGGGTTAGCTGCATGCTGGGCAAACGCCCTACCTGCTGTGCTATTGCTCTAGCCCCTAGAGTCCTGAGATGTTAAGTGTGAAAACATTCTGAGGTTTAAAAATAAAAGAAGCACTTTTTGTTTGGAGGGTTTTTGTTTGTTTAGTGTGAAGAACACCTTGCAGTGCTTTGGGCTCATTCCTGTCCTGTACTCAGATATCGCTTGTGATGGGGATTGGGGAACCATATTTGGATTGAACCTGGGTTGACTGCCTCAGGGAAAGTGCCCTCCCCTCTGTGCTTGTGTCTAGAGCAAAAACCACTCTTGTGGGCCTTACCTGCCTCTCCTTTTAGGATGAGTGCACATTTCTTGTGTTTTCTTTTCTTTTTTTGGGGGGGGGGGGTCACACCCGGTAATGCACAGGGGTCACTCCTGCCTCTGCACTCAGGAATTACTCCTGGCAGTGCTCGGGGGACCATATGGGATGCTGGGGATTGAACCTGGATTGACTGCATGCAAGGCAAATGCCCTACCCTCTGTGCTGTCGCTCCAGCCCCACTGTCTTTTCTTGTTTAACTGTCATCATGCTGTAGCTTGTTCCTGACCTACGGTGAGTATCAGGGAATGTTTCTAGCATGAATGGAAGTTGCTACTGACTCCAGACAGCACCGCTTCTGTGTGCTTTTGGGATTGTGAGAGATGGTTTGATGCCTAGCCTTGCGATTCTGTGTCTCGTTTAAGGGCCTGGCCACGAACATTTCCGCGACGCTCCTCGTCCCGACCATGCCCCCCATGATGGCCATTCCCCAGCTAGCAGAGAGCGCTCGTCTTCTCTCCAAGGCATGGACATGGCCTCTCTGCCTCCTCGAAAGCGTCCCTGGCACGATGGGCTAGGGACCTCTGAGCACAGAGAAATGGAGGCCCCAGGGGGGCCGGCAGAGGATCGAGGTGGCAAAGGTGAGTGGAGCCTATGCTCCCGTGAATGCTTGGCTCATCCTCTGTGCCCGGCGGCCCTTTGGCCTGGTGTTGACTCCTGATCCCACTTCCTGGGACACCCCTCTCTGATGTACACGCGCTCGCTGCAAACGGCCTCCCTCTGCCAGGGGCGATGTGTCCTCCCCTGTGCCTGCTGTCCCCGAGGCCCCTGGGAGGAGCGTTACCTGTGTCCAGAGGTGCAGACCTGAAAGGGGCTCTCCTGCTTCTCGATGGGTTCGGAAGTTTGAAGCTCTTGCTCCTGTGGCAGAGGTCAGCGTCAGCCGGGAAGGCCGCTCTGCGCTCTCGGCCCAGCTTTGACTTGCCTTGGGCTCGCACGGCTGCTCACAAGTCAGTCTGCTGCACTGCCAGGTGTGATCGAGAGGGAGGAAATGCTGTGGTAGGTTCTTGGTGTTTGGTTATTCTCAGCACAGAGTCCTTGTAGGTTGCCTAACATGGCACAGGGGGTCTTCCCCACCCGAGCACACATGTCATGGCTCGTGATGGGTGTGACCTTGGACTGGGAAGGACAATTGACACCTGCCAAGCCCAGTCAGGCTGTATGGCTGGTGTGGAAATGACCTTCCAGCTGACAGTTCTTGGCCCAAGCACTTCAGGGAGGCCTTGACAGGGCTTTGTAAGACACCAGAATCATTCTTTAGGTTAGCTTTCCTAACCTTCATCTCAGTGAACTTCATATTCCACTAAAAAGGATTTAAGGCACACTAAAGTTGGCAGTAGGTCAGAGATGTAGCCAAATCTTTCAGTTCACTTGAGAGATGCGCTTTTTTGGGGGGGAGGGTTGGCTTTTTGGGTTACACCCGGCGATGCACAAGGGTTACTCCTGCCTGGCTCTGTGCCAGGACTTGCTCTCCTGGCAGTGCACAGGGGACCATATGGGATGCTGGGAATTGAACCCTGGTCCGCCGCATGCAATACAAATGCCCCACCTACTGTGCTATTGCTCCAGCCCCAAGAATTATTCTTTAAATGGAAATCAGAGTGCCACATTACTACTATGTTATGTGGGATAATGAATTACAGGTGCCCTGTGTTTACTCAGATCAGCCTGACACTTGAGTTACTTCCAGTTGTGTATCTTGTTGTCCCTTCAGAAGTCAAGTCAGTGCTGTGCAGGTGTTCCCTCAGAGTGCCACTAGGTGGGTGATTGACTCCCTAAAACTGGCTCCCTGCATTTCAGTGACTTTCTCTCCTGGCTTCTTGGTGCCTCCATTATACAGACAGACTTGGGGGACTTCTTCTGTTGACCCTGAAGACACAGTCACGACCCAGGATGGGTGTGGTAGTTGTCAAGAGCGAGGCACATATTTATTTACGGGGGTGCCTTGCTAATTGTCCCCAGAATCTGTCTTAAAGAAAGACTCAGAGAGTTTCAGTTTGTCCAGGTGTTAGGCGGCTTTAAGTCTCTGCTGAAAAACGTGTATCACATGCAAAATTGATGTTTCGTTGCAGGCCGAGGGGGCCCTGGACCTTCACAGAGAGTGCCAAAGTCGGGGCGTTCCAGCTCCTTGGATGGAGACCACCATGACGGCTACCACAGAGATGAACCTTTTGGGGGCCCTCCAGGCAGTGGCACTCCTTCGAGAGGGGGCCGGAGTGGCAGCAATTGGGGGCGAGGGAGTAACATGAACTCTGGCCCACCCAGGCGAGGGACCTCGAGGGGTGGCGGGAGGGGTCGGTAGGAGTCGGACGAGTCGCCCTCGGCCTCTGCGGACAGTATTTAAGAACTTCCTGTGGACTTGCTAAAGCGACGGAGGAAGCTGCCCCATGTAGCCTGCGCTCTTTTGGGGCCCTGGAACCCGAGCCCCACGAGACGAAGAGCCTGCTGCTGGCTGCCCCGAGCAGCTGGCCTTGTCCTGTCCTGTCCATCCTCACTGCCCTAACTCCCTCATCGTTTTGTGAAGATACATACAAGCTGGAATCTTTTTTTTTTTTTTCTTTTTGTAAGTGTCACAGACTTGGAGCCCCTCCACAAATTTAAGTTCATGTCCTATTGGGAATTTGTTTCTATATGTACAGTTTGTCAGAGGAAAAAAAAAAAACTTTTTTTTTGTATGAATACAGAATGTGATTTACTCAAGAAATAACAGAAAATTAGTTGTGTTAACCTTAAAAAGTTTCCCCTACATCTGGTGTCCTTAGGGGTGTCACACAATTGTGGTGATATTGGCGAAGTGTGCTTTATTAACTTTTCTCCTTTTGGGGAGGGGTTGGGTGGTGGGGAGGGGTCAGGTGGTGGAGAGGGCACATACTCAAGTGTTTCTCCTGGCTCTGAACTCAGAAATCATTCCCGGCAGTGCTCAGGGAACTGTAGGGGGTGTCATGGATCAAACCTGGTGGGCTGGGCACAGGGCAAGCACCCTACCTGCTGTACTATTCTTCTGGCCCCATATTCATATGTGAACTTTGACCTGAAGTGGTGGCTACTCCCATCAGGTCTCTCCCACCATGTGGGCCTGACCTGACAGTGCTGTGGTGCCCTCAAGGCTCGCCCTGGTAGTTGAGACTAAAGGTGCATGGCATGAGGTGAGGCTCAGCGTCAAACTCAGCATCTCTTCGGCTCTGTCCCCAACGCCAGCTTTTATGTTCAGATTCTTATCTGCCCATCCCGTTTGGTTCTTGTAAGAAACTGAGACCAAGGAGATACTACAGGGGTTAAGTGCTTGCCTTACACACTGCCAATCTTGGTTCAACTCCCAGCACCACACATGGGCCTGAGCTCGACCAGCAGTGAGCCCTCGGGATCACCAGTCTGACCCTAAAAACAAAAATGCAGAAAAGTATACTCTGAAGGAAAAACTCAAGTCTGTCAAAGCAGGGGTTCATCGTGGGGTTTACTTCCTGCTGCTCACTTAGTAGGCATGAGTCACCTTTTGCCTGCTGAGAAGAACTTGACCTAAGATGGAAATTACATGCACTCTTTTAATCCCTATAAACCATTTCACAAGGTTATTTAAATGAGGAAAGATTAGACAAAAACATGTCAGTTTTATAAAACTCTTTTCTTCTTTACTATGTGCAAATGCCCAGCTTCAGTCCAACATGGGGGAATAGTATACTTGGTCAGTTCAGTAATGCTAAATGTCTGTCACTGTTTGTTTAGAAAAGGGGACACTGACACAGTTGCAGTGTATCAAAAACTACCCCTTGGTAGAGCAATAGTACAGTGGGCAGAGTATTTACCTTACACACGGCCGATCCTAGTTTGATCCTGACACCCCATGAGGTCCTCCAAGTCCCACCAAGAGTAAGTGGAGAGTTACAAGAAAGCCCTGAACACCACTGGTTGCGGCCCCCAAACCAAAAAACGACATCAAGCCTTTCAATAAATGTTACTATAGAAAATGGTAAAAGCAAGCTAAAGACATAGTGCGTAAGGCTCTTGCCTTGCATGTGGCCCACTCAAGTTCAAATCCTGCACCACACATGGTCCCCTCAGCCCTACCAGGAGTGACTCCTGAGCACAGCCAGGTATGGCCCCAAAGCCAGTAATAATAAAACATAAAAGCTATGTTATTTCTGCAGAATGGGAAAATGTTAATCACATAAGCCATTAGAACATCTCGAGTGAATTTTACTTTATTTTGAAACTCACTTGCTATTTATCAGCACCTTGTTGGCAAAGACACAATTAAGGGGCTTGGGTGCTTTGACTCTGGTTATCTGTTGTCTACTGATTTAACCTAAAATGAGATGTTTTCATCGAACTCTAAGAAGGTAAAAAGAATGCAGGAGAACAAACCCATATTGAGATGAGGAGCATTTTTCTGAGGTTCATGTGGGAAGAACTTGTCTCAACAAAATTAAGCTATAATTTTAAACAATGATTGCACTCAACAGCTAGCAAGGTCATATTTTGAAATTTTATTTTGGGAAAATTAGGATCTATGGGTTAAGCACCTAAGGGGGATTTAACACATTTAAAATATTTAATATTTAAAATATTGTCAAAATACAAAGCTGTGGAAAATTAAACTATTTTTAAACTTTAATTCTTAAGGTTGGGAAGCAAATTTCTAAAAACAGCACCAAGATTAAAATGCTATTAGAAACTTTAGTCACATAAATCTAGAAAAATTTCAAAATGAAACAGCACCCAATGGTGCACCCATTTCTGGTTGAAGAATCCCTGGTAAATGTTTGCTCCTAACCTAAGAACACCCTCACCATTTGGCTGTTCCCTTGAGGTAGGTATCTGTTTACTTGGAGAACAAGAAGTGTTAGAGAATTCTGAAAACCTAACAGTGCATTGTGGGTCACGTTAGGTTACTCTCAGGGGTTGGGCTTAATTCACTGATGAAGTCATGGGAACAGATTTTTATTCTCGTCAACAAAAGACACTCCAGTGCTGAGAAATGTTTAAGTTGGCACGGGAATTCTGAAAACCATTCTTTACAAGTTGTGCAAAGCAATGAACCAAAAGGCAAATCTCAACTTCAGCTGAGCATGCTTCTTAAAAAAAACAAAACCAAAACCGATACATGGATGTTCCAACCCTAGAATTCACTGAACTGTCCAGAGGTGATCATCCAGGAATCATGATGGGAACTGGTAAAGTTCCCATCCTGTTGAGCCACTGGCAAAGAATTTTTAAATCTTGCTTTCTAGTTAGTATATATTTATATGGGCTGCAGCGATGGCCTGTTCAGTATGCCAGAAGCAGTAACAAGAAGTCTCACAGCAGACAATAGTTTTATGGACTTATACTACTGGGCCCATACTTCCTGGCAATAAATGCAACAAGATCAAGTGCTTGAACTTAGGGCTGGAGCAACAACAGCACAGTGGGTAGGGTCCTTGCCTTGCACACCAACCCCATTAAGAGGCACCCCATAAGGTCCCTGAGCACCACCAGGAGTGATCCATCAGTGCAGAGCCAGGAGTAAGACCTGAGCACAGCTGGTGTAGCTAAAACCTTTTTTTTTTTAAAGTGCTGAACCTGTAGCAAAGATATTTGGCCATGGGGCCGAGCGTTAGCGAGTAGGGAGTTTGTCTTGCATGCGGCCCACTGGGGTTCAATCTGCAACCCCCAAGCAGCGCCAGGGCTGATTCCTGAGTGCAGAGCCAGGAGTTACCCAGCATCGCTGGCTGTGACACAAATAGAAAAAAAGAAAATTGGGGGCCACTATTTATCTTAGAATACATTAGGCATAAGGTCAACTGCCGTATAAGAAGCAGGTAACAAGGGGCCAGAATGACAGTACAGTGGGTAGATGTTTGCATCGCATCGACCCTGATTCAAACCCCTGCAACCCGTATGGTCCCCCCAGTCCACCAAGAGTAAGCCTTGAGCACCGTCAGGTGTGGCCCCCAAAATAAAAAAGCAGATGATAAGGTCGGTGATCACATCTGGCATCGGGATTCCGTCTAAGAAGTTCACAGGTCGAGCTCGGGGCTCTGCTGAACATGTACTGGATACCACGTGTCTCTTTGGGGCAGGAAACGTCCTTTTTTGGTCCATCACTCGTCTCATGGAATCTTTCGTATTAGAGGTCTTATTAAGATTCTTTGAAAGCAGAACGCGACGAGCTTTTAACCGTCCATGACTAAAGCGAGAGCTTCATCAGATACATTGCAGTTCTCGTGCATCGGACAGAAGAAGAGTCACTTCCAAGGGCCACGGGAAACAAAATTAACATTCGCTTAGAATATATCGCTGTTTTTTTTGGAACGACAAAGGTAAAAGTCTCGGGGGCCGGGATTCACCAAAGCAACCGGTGGAAACACGAGTCTTTCTCCTCCTTCAACGGCAGCCGGCGAGGACGGCGACGAAGGCCCGACTTGGGCCTCGGGGCCCCGAGGCGCCCAGGCTCCGCGCGGCGTCACACGGGCAGCGCCGGGGCCAGCCGCGCGCCGGAGCCCAGGCGCCCGAGCGCCAGGCGCAGCGCTGTGCCCGCGCCCCGCGGCAGCGCCTCCAGCAACGCGGCCAGCAGCGCGGCCACTTGCGCGCATGCGCCCAGCGCCGTCCAGGGCGTGCTGCGCAGGCGCAGCGCGGCGTACAGCGTGGCAACCAGCGCGGCGCCGTAGAGCAGCGCGGGCGCCGACAGCGGCCGGGCGCACGGCGCGCCGCCCCGCAGCAGCGCGCCGCCCGCCAGCGCCAGCACCGAGCCCAGCGACCAGAGCAGCGCGAACTTGCGCGCCCGCAGTGGCAGCATCGGCGCGTAGAGCAGCGCCAGGCCGAAGCAGAGCGCGGCCAGCAGCAGGCACACGCCGGCCGCCGCCCACCGCTGCGTGCGCCCCAGGCCGGGCAGCCACGCCGCGTCCGCGCCCGCGGGCTCCCTCCGCGCCCAGCGCAGCCCCACGCGCTCCAGCCACGCGCGGCCCGGCCCTCCGCCTGCCGCGCTCTCCGCCGCCGGGTCCGCGGCGAGCAGCGGCTCCTGGGCGTCCCCGCCGCCCGCCTTCCCCTGCGACAAGTACTCCTGCAGCTGGCGGTGCAGGTCCGCCATCTTGGCGGCGCGGGCGCAGCGAGTCTGCCTCACTTCCGGTCCCGGCCGGCCGGAAGCGGCTGGTCTCCCCGCGGAGGGCGGCCCGCCCTGCCGGAAGGGGCGGGGACTGCCGGAAGTGGGCGGTGGTGTCGGGTCGGGCGCTGCCTCTGCCGCGCTCCCGCTGCCGCCTCGTGACCGGAGTCACCTCGTCCGGGAAGTGGCGGGCAGAGGGGCGGGCGGGGAAGGGACTCGGCGGGGCGGGAGGCACCGGCCTCACCTGACGGGGCGGCGGGGTGGGCGCTGCCGGGGGCGGCGCGAGGGGCTCCGCGAGACCCCGGCTTGGCCGTGACGTGGAGGGGTAGTTCTGGACGGCTCTGCCGTGGAGGCACCGGCTCGAGGGCCGTGTCCCCCACGCCGGGACAGACAGAAGTCCTGGGGGTCGTCGTCTTTGTTTGCCGACGGGCGGCCCACCTGGTCGGATCCCGGAATCTCAGATCGTCCCTGAGCACTGCAGGAGTGATCCCTGAGTGAACCGGGAGTAACCCTGAGTGGTCCCGTTGTAACCCTGAGTGATCCGAGAATGAGCCCTCAGTGATCCCGGAGTAACCCTGAGTGAGCCCTGAGTGATCGGGGAGTGAGCCCTGAGTGGTCCCCGAGTAACCCTAAGTGAGCCCCCAGTGATTTGGGAGTGAGCCCTGAGTGGTCCCGGAGTAACCCTGAGTGATGGAGAATGAGCCCTGAGTGACCCTGGAGTGAGCGGGAAGTGAGCCCTGAGTGGTCCCGGAGTGAGCCCTGAAGTGATCCCGGAGTAACCCTAAGTGAGCCCTGAGTGATCTAGGAGTGAGCCCTGAGTGGTCCCGGAGTAACCCTGAGTGATCGGAGAGTGAGCCCTAAGTGATCCGGGAGTAACCCTGAACATCGATGGCCTGGTCCCAAAAACAAAGGTGGTGGTTTTGTTTCTGTTTCAAGTCAAGGTCGGTTTAGAGTCAGGCTCCAGCTCCAGCAGCCAAGGAAGCCCCTTACCCCGTGTGTCCTGGGTAGTGGCAGCTGGCTCTGGCTTCCTGTCCTGTTCCCATTGGTGCCGTTTGCAGGAGCTCATCTTTAGGCTCCACAGTGCTGACAGACCAGTCAGTGGGTTTTTGGGGTTTTTTTCCCCCTGTTATTTTTATGAAGTTGTTCCCAACCATTCATTACATTTAATATTCACCAACCCCACCACCATTGCACCTTCACACCACTATATTTTGAATGTTTCCACTCCAGATCCTAAACTGTACCCCTAAAATAAAATAAATTTGTATTGCTTTTTATAAATCACTTAATCACTTAACTTCCCGTTACTTGTCGATTTGCTCGAGCGGGTGCCAGTAACGTCTCCATTTGTCCCTGTCGCGTGCTAGTGTAGCCCAATGGCATCTGTTCGCTCTGGGATCATGAAGAGCCTCAAACCGATCGTTCATGATCTTCACGAAGAAGTCTGACCATCTGGTAAGTGGGCGGCCACGTGGTCTTTTGACATCCCGTGGAATCCAGTCAGTAACAGCTCTAGTCCAGCGGTCGTCTTTAAATCTCATTACATGACCAGCCCATCTGATTTTTGACACCTTGGCAAATTAGACAGCGTCCCTGATTCTTGATCGTCGAGGGATGTCGGAACTCCGGATTTTTTCTCTCATTTGAGTGAAACGTGATATTCCAAGCATAGCTCTTTCTATTCTTCTTTGGAAGACCTGAATAGCATTCTCATCCTGTTTGCGTAGGGCCCAGGTCTCTGAGGCATATGTTAATGCAGGAAGAACAGTGGAATCAAAGAGATATGCCCAGAGGTTCTTCGTCCTCTTAGCTATTTCTTCGACGTTCTTGAAGGCGTTCCAAGCCGCTCTCTTCCTCCTGTGCAGCTCGGGTGCCAGGTCATTTGTCATGTTGACTTCTCGACCTAGGTACACATAGCTGTTGCATTCGGAGATGGTCGTTCCGTTGAGAGCAAATGGGGCATCAGGAACGAGCCTGTTTATAAATAATCTGCTTTTTATAAATAATCTGCTAATAATGGTACAATAAAGTTTCCTTAGAGGAGAGTATGTGAAATAGATTGATTCTGTAGTATCCCTTATAGTAAAGTAAAGTAAAGTAAAGGCCCTCCCGTTGATCGTCGATTTGCTCGAGCGGGCCCAGTAACGTCTCCATTGGAGACTTTGTTGTTACTGTGTTTGGCATATTGAATACTCTCGGTAGCTTGCCGGGCTCTCCGAGAGGGATGGAGGAATCGAACTCGGGTCGGCCATGTTGGCTGCTTGTAAGGCGAACGCCCTACCCGCTGTGCTATCGCTCCAGCGTATCCCTTATAGTCTTTTTAAATTTTTTATTAGTGAATCACCATGGGGTACAGTTACAGTCTTACAAACTTCCGTGCTTGTGTTTCAGTCATACAGTGGTCAAGTACCCAGTGCCCATTTTCCACCACCAATGGTCCTAGCGTCCCTCCCTCTACCCTTGCCCTATCCCCTCTGTGGCAGGGCATTCCCTTTTGTTCTTGCTCTCCTTTGGGGTGTTGTTTGCAGTAGAGTTATTAAGTGTCCATCCTGTTCAGTCTGTAGTCTACTTTCAGCCCATATCTCCCATCTCAAGCGGGCCCTCCTAGCACCCTTTACTTAGTGGTCCCTTCTCTATCTGAGCTGCCTTTTCCCCCAGCATGCGAGGCTGGCTTCTAAGTTGTGGAGTAATTCTCCTGGCACTTATTTCTCCTGTTCTTGGGTGTTAGTCTCCCATTCTGTTACTTTATATTCCACAAATGAGTGCAGTCTTCTTATGTCTGTCCCTCTCTTTCTGGCTCATTTCACTTTTAACATGATACTTTCCATGTTGATCCACCTATATGCAGATTTCACGACTACATCTTTTCTAACAGCTGCATAGTATTCTATTGTGTAGATGTACCGACGTTTCTTTAACCAATCATCTGTTCTTGGGCACTCGAGGACCCCTTATATTATTTACACTCTATATTTTGGCTTTTACTGTGCTAGGGGGTCTCACAGCACTCCTTGGCTTGGTGTGAACCTGGTGGTGAGAGGCTTGGGCCCTGGACTGTGGTTGCTGCGCCCCCTGGTGGCCATTAGGAGTACCCCGCCCCACTCCAGGATCTTCCCAGCTCTGGCATGCATTTTCTTTTCTTCTGAATTTTTAAATTTTAAAAATTAAAATTTCTTAAATTTAAAAAAAAATTCTGGGCACCGTGTAATGCCTAGGGCCTATTCCTTCCTCTGTACTCAAGGGATCACTTCTAGCGTGGCCCCTTGCCAGGGTTTGAACTCAGGTCAGCTGTGTGCAAGGCAAATGCACTTCCTGCTGTATTGTCATTCCGGCCAGCATTTTATTTATTTAAAAATTTTTAAACTGAATATCCATGAAATAAACCGTTACAGAGTTGTTCGTGATTGGGTTTTAGTCACCCAGTGATCCAACAACCCTCCTTCCACCAGTGCACACCTCCCACCACCAGTGTTCCCATCCTCACCACCATCCAACATTCCCCTCACACCACCAACCCTGCATCTATGACAGGCACTTTACTTCTTGCTCCCTTTCTTCTTTTGCATTATGGTTTGCAATACAAGTACTTTGAGGTCATCATGTTAGTTCAGGGCATTGAGTATTTTTACCAGGAAGGGAAGGCTGGAGTAGCTTTTATGAATAGGTGGCAACTTTGGGGTGTGAACTTGACTGCCGAGGCTTCCATAAATACAGAGAGGTGGGGACAGGTAGCCAGGCCATTCTGACCCCGAGAAAGCCTGGAGATTTCGGTCACAAAACCCACATACCCAAAATTTCAGCATATTACATCTCGGTAAGACAGTGGAGTCTGGCCAGGGGCATGGCAGCCATTTTAGACTGTGGAAACAAGCAGCTGCCAGGGACTCTGCTTGGGTGGGCATCAGGCTGGCCTGTCCTTGATTTACCTGTCTGATCAGCCTTGCGCTGGTCCGAGATTAACTATAGCTTTTGATCTCTTTCGAGATTTATTTATAGATCTCTGAAGCAAGGCTGGTAGAAGAGCTACATGGTGGCGCTGGAGTTAGTTCTTGGGGGTGATGGCCGAGGCTTCCAGAAGTACAAAGGGGGGGGAGGTAACCCATCCTAGCTCTGAGAAAACCTGGAAATTTCAGTCACAAAACCCACATATTCAAATTTCCAACAGGTTAATACCTCAGTGAGGTCTGTTCTGAGACAGTGGAGTCCAGCCGGGGGCATGGCAATTTTGGATTGTGGGAGCAAGCGACTTCCAGGGGCTCTGCTTGGGGGTGGGGGCACCAGGCTGATCCCCCTCCCTCTGATTTACACTGGTCTCTTCAGCCTTGTGTGGTGCAAGCTTAACTGTGACTTTTTATCTCTTTCAAGATTTATTTATGAGTCTCTGAAGCAAGGCTTGTATGGTTGAGCCAGAGGTGGTTTGTGGGCATGGTTCCCACATACCTAACTTTCAGCCATTTACTTTCTCAGGAAACTTGAACGTAAATAAGCAAACAAAGAAACAGACAAGCAAGACAGATGGAGAACACAGGCTTGAAGAGCAAGTCTGCTTCTGCTCTTGTGAGGTGTGCTGGTCTCGGTGGTGTGAGGTGACACCCATCTTTGCTGATTTGATTTGCATCTTCCTAATGTTAAATGATGGGGAGCACTTTTTCATATAGCAGTGGGTGGGCTGAGCATATTCTTTGAGAAAGTGCCTGTTCAACTCTTCTCCTGATTTTTAAAAATGTTGTTGTTTTTCAGTTGTTTAATGTTGTGAATGCTTTATAGATCTTTGTCACATGTATGGGAAATGAATATTTTCTACCTGCCTGAAGGGCTTTTTATTCTACTCATTTTCCCCCCATTGTGCAGCAGCTTTTTAATTTGGTGTGATTCCATTTATTTTTGCTTCTGTTTTGTTGGCCAGTGACATTGAGTCATTGAAGATGCTTCTTGAGTCATTATCATGTAAAGTTCCGCCTGTGTTGTACTTGTGTTTATGGATTTAGATTTTATTTATTTATTTATTTAT